TCAGTCATCTTTATTATTACTTAAAGATGTATTATCACAAATTTTGAAAAACTAATTTCGAGGCCTTTTTAGTACCCACTACATAGCTTACTTTGTATTAAGCTAAAAGGAGAAAACCTACATCTAATGAAGACGCTTGTACAACGCGTAATTATCCAATGATACCGACAATTTTATGATTTTCGCTTTATAAATACGATTTTTTTGGCTTCTCCACCACTGAATTGTCGTCACTATTGGAGTTACACTGCTTTCAAAGATTTTTTTGAATTGAGCACTCTGGTTGAAATGTTTCGAGTATTGGCAAAATATACTACATCAAAATAAGGCCACTGAATCTGGTGAAAAAGGGTGCTGTAATAGTGAGGTGTTTTCTTTGTCAACAGTTGAGTAAACTAAAGAAAAAAATATTTTAACTAATTAAAAAGAACGTTTAACCGACGACCTACAATGTAATAATTGTGGTGAGGAGTGTAAGGTAAGAACGGTTTTTGGATTCATGTTAAGTTGTCAGTTCAATGTTAAAGAACCCCTTATGGAAAACGGCTTTCCGTTAAATTAATTGGAATTTTGCATAGAGGTCCTTTTTATCATGGCGATCAAAAGTCCCAATGGGGACACCCTCCAGAAACCCTTCACTGAGCAATTACAGAACCCAGAAGTCCCCCAAGTAGGTGTTTTTGATAGATATGGGAGGACAACATAGGTATCATCACCATAAAAGTAAAATACCCTTTTGTTAGGGTGTCTCCCAATGGTGGTAATGGATTTGAGAGTGACCTTGAAGGTTATGGTCACGGTCAGGTAAAATTGGTATAATATCCTAGTGAAAAGTATTTAATAGGAAAATGGAGAGAGATTACAACTATAATTAGTAGTTAAAAAAAGCGAATAGCCAACACAAAATTAACATTTACATAGATAAAACAAACGTTCTCATGAGTCTCAATGGGCCATTTTTTCATTTTTATCAAATGGCTCTAATTATTTATTCAATCAACGGGTGAAATGCTTGTTACAAATACAAAACAATCTTGCTTTAAAGAATTGCATTGTAATGTTCTTAACACGCTTAAACTCATTAATAGTTCCAAATACTTCTGAACTAGATGTATATCTATCTGTTACCTAACCTAAAAAGACGAGTTAAGGGTAATGATCAATAAAGTTGCATCAACCTCTATATTACAGAAGATGATCGTTATTACAAAGTAACATAAATAAGTCGACTCAGGTATAAACTCATTTAACTTGAATAACTGTACAGTCGGATATGAATCTACAATTCAAACTGTCTGTGACCCAATTAATATTACTGCAACAACACGCAAATGACACCAGTCTATTAAATGCTGAAAAGGCGAATGCTGAAAAAGTGGAATTACAATTTTATGCGGGCTATGGATTCACACAATTTCGGTAATCTTGAGGGAAAAACAAAATACATTTCGAGAATATTAGGTACATATTATTCTCGTAGTATTTTTTGTTTTTAAAGGATTCCATGGTCCACTGAAAATTCAAGCAAAACAGACTATTTGAGTGAATATACTGTTTCTGGGATCTCAATGTCCGCCAAAAAAATCTTAAGCAAATCGACAAATTGTGAAAACAAACCATCCAAATAGTGGAAAATGGCACGCTTTATTTGAAAAATATGATGAAATTAAGATGATCATTAAATTAGGAACAATATGCTAGAAAATTAACAAAATGTTCCCTTAGGGTGCTCCATTCCTGACTTTCACTACAAAGAGCAACAAATCTCTGTATGTGTAACTGGTATAACAATATACAAAAACTATGTTACTTGTATTGCTAAATACACATTATAACATAGTTACGTGAACAGAGGTAATAAAAATTCATATAATAAGGGCATAATAAAAGCACGTTTTTAGAAGTTCCTAAAAATTTTAGTCATCACCCTCACTTGGCACAATTGAAATTGTATATTTTCGTGTAAATGTGACCATTTTGCGACTTGACCTTGATCAAAGCCTAGCAAATCAAAAAGTGGCAGTTTGAAACTAGTGCGACTTTGTCCTTTCTTTACAATAACTGCGACCCGCTATCAAAAAAAATCCAACTTCCAAAAACAACTCTAAAGGTCTGTGAGCTCTCAATCTATACAATTCCTTTGTTTCAAGACGGGTGGAACAGAAGACTACTTATTTATAACAAAGAGCTGCATATTTATGTTTATCACGTTTAAGATAACTTTTTCATAATTTAATTGTCACCCCTTTGGTCACTCATTTTCCTTGGTCGCTTTAAAAGCTGCTAAAATCAAAATAATATCTGACCCTGTGAAATATGTATCACATATCATATAGTCTTGCGTCATAACAAATATGAAAACAAAAATAGCTAATTTTCTTAGTTGACACCGAAAACCGAAATATCGCTCCGTACGAAACCCGTTAGAACAGCTGTTTTGAGCCTATTAATTAAAAATGGTTCTTCTTTGACGTACCTCGTGACATAACCATATCTGTACACTCTGTTCATCCCTGAACCCAATTAAATCTAATAATCACATAAACATACAGGTTTGTAAATAGAAACAGAATTGACACAACACCAAGCCGTATTTTCTTTATATGGGAAAAAATATAAAATCTCTATACAACATTATTATAAGAACATAGCAATAAATGTAGAATTTTAAATCACGAAAACGAATTTGGTCAAGTACGTATTTCGCATCATTAATCTTCAATGCTGATTTAAAGTTGACCTTCATTCGAGGTTTCAGCAAATTGGAAATAAACTGAAATCCAAATTGAGCAGTATCAAATAGATAATCATGAAGGTGTATTTTTGATGATAAATCATAATATAGCAGTATAGTATAAGTATGATGATGCATTTTATTCTAGATTTAATACGCTAGGTAAGTAACATTAATGAAAGAACGTGTTTTTGGCTTGGAATCGTCAACTGGCCGATACGAGAGACGCAGTGTTCCTGAAAGTCGAGATTGAGGAACAATCTGTCCAAGAATATTAACCTCAGACAGTTCAAACAACTGATCAATCAAGTATCACTCACATATTTTGTAAAAAATGCAAGATGAAAGTAATATAAGAATCCCCCCTTGGGATGGGATCATGAACGCCCGCAGAGCGGACCTTGGTTATTGATACACACCAAACAGTGGTAAGTTTGGTCATCGGTTGTTCAGAACTTTGTAAAAAGAAATGGGATAAAAATGTCACTTCAAATTAACATAAGCTACAAACAAAGAGCGACATATTTATTGAAATAATCCGTAACAACATAATCAGGCAGGCTCGTAGCTCACTAAAAGTAAAAACCAAAGGGTAAGATTATATCAAAATGATTTAAATATTAATCTTATAAAACTTTTAAACTTAGGATACAGTTTAAAATAAGACGTACTAAAAATAGAAAATATAAAATTCAACATCTTGGAGGCTTGGATTTGTACACTGCTTTTTATGGTACTTCTAAAATCTGCAGACCTACTCTCACAAGATACGAAAGACCGAACAAAAATCACTTGTGACATAACATTTCAATTGTCACAATATTGTAAATAAACCGTAATGCATGCCCGACAACATAGCGAAAGTGAAAGTTACGATGAATGTAAATTAAAATTTACGGGATTCAGAATCGATCCTGTTTGAAGTTTGACAAAATAATCCTACTTGATTTCTACATCAGAATGAAAAGGGAATATAAAATATGTACCTTATTGCAAAATATGAACGAACGGAAGTAAGGAAAAAGTTTTAGGCATGGAATTTGCATTAATTATCATAACTATAATGTAACGGAAACGGCTTTTACACAAAGCATAAATGGCGATATAATCAAAAACTTAAAGATTACCTTTATTCAGTGGGAACAAAGCAAGAACATTTAACATTTTGGCACAGTGGAATCAAAAAAATGGATTAAGATAACACAATACACAAAAATGCACGGGCTTCTTTTCTACAATATTATAACTTTGGCTACTTGGGACAGTTAAGTAACTAAGAATGATTATGATTAGAAAAAAGTTTCTATTATACTAAAATGTTATTTTTTGTTAGTTCGATTGCTAATCAAAGAAATGAAAGTTTAAAAAGCATTTTCAATAATTTGCTGCTTTTATAAACAGTTAAAAAAATACATCCCAAAGCAATATGTGTGGCTGTTATTCTGGATATGACATGGTTTGAATTGACCTAGGCAGGACCTGCTACAGCGGTTATTAAGCGAGGCCTTAGGGGCAGTACCATGGGGGGGCGGAAAATCTGAATATGCCTCGGGGCGCACAAACTTCGAAGCTGGCCCAGGGTGCCAGGGATTGACCACCAAAATCGTTTTTCTTTATCGTTAAAAAATATTGATTTCCATTTAATGTCCTTTTTGACTTGACACCATGTAAAAATAGGGCCTAATCTTCACTGTAAAAGGAGGATAATGATAATGGGATAATTAGTGCTCTTTGTAGGAGCAAAAAATGTAGGTAAGTACTCTAGGTAGGCATATGGTCAGGATTTTCTTTTATTTTTGATATGAATACATAAACTAAAATTGACTGATTACTGTCGGCAATTCAAGTCAGTTTGTCAGTTAAATACCTACTTCATTTGCAGGGTTAGCTAGAAAAGCACGTGACTGGAAATCTACCTAATTATTTAAGAACATATGTCTGAAGAATAAAACATTGGCTAATTAGTTTTTAGAATCACAAAAGAAATTCCTGCATAGTAACAGTTTTTCCTTTTTCAAACTAATTTGCAAGAAAGTCCTGAAGTAGTTATAGATAATTCAAACATTGAATTTGCATGGCAATTCCATCAAAATTATATCTTACTGATAATTTAGACAATATATATTACTTTTTGATTACAGCGACACATTTCAAATGCATCATTATGCATTACGCAAAAAAAATTTCAGGGGACATGGTAAGGATTAGCCACAATTATTGGAACAATATCATAACAAAGCGATTCGAAAATTCCAGGCATACGTACCTCGAGTCCAAAATCGATAATCCAAAGTGGTGTTAATCCAAATAATAGTGTAATCCAAAAAAACTGGCACTAAAAACACTAAAATCGAACACCGTCACTAAAATTTTCCCCTTAGAACACGCCAACAAGATGGGAGGTGATGGATCGCGGGTAGAGGGGAGAGACAGTGCGGAACGAGCGAGCGATTTAGTGACGTCACTTTAGTGTCGTGGTGTGTTCTTTCAGACACCTGGGAATTGATCACAAGATCACAAACGCCTGGAGGACGACATGTCTTAGGCGCGGTTCGTTCTAAGGTGGCGGCGAGACAAAAGAATGTCGCAGAGCAGCGGCGGCGGCGCTACGCGTTTCGGGCGACAACAACGTCTACGTCCGACACACACGACGTTCGGGACTCGAATAGCGAGCGCGGGAACGGTGGGGAAAGCTGCCGCCGCCAACCAAAGTGGGGAGCCGAGTGGGAGACACGGCCATGCACTGTTGCCAAATCAGTAGGTTTTTCTCAATATTTACGAATGAAAAGAAATGCTCTCGCTCCTATAATTTATATTTCTTATTAGAAGGTTTATGAGTTGAGGATTCTTATAGTTTTCTCTCTACCACTATAGCAATATGTAATTTTTGTTTTAGCCAAGAATTGTGGTTCCTCCAGCATATGAGAATATTTTAGTCAAAATTATGTGTGGGAGCGCAGCGCTACCCGTGTATTCATACGGTAAAGCATAAATGTGATTTAAACAATAAATTTAATTTAACGGTGAGTTTATATTGTAAGATAACAAATTTTATTCTTTTTTTTTTCGTGTTCCTGCAAATCGATTTATGATTACTTCTTCCGTATCGACATGGCCAACTAAGAATGCGAGGTACTGTATCTGGGAACGTGTATCCATCGTAGAGGCTTGCGGCAAAAACATGTCAACAGGGAAACTTGGAAAATGTTTTCAAGTAACTGAAATGGACGCTAGCGGGCGTAACTGCAATCTTGGATCAAACAAAGTGATGATTCTGTGAATTCCGCTAAATTAAGCTAACAAATTATCCTTCTATTCGTTTCTTTTCTGTTTTTGTGGTATAATTGTGATACCTTTTTTCTCTGATCTCAAGTCAAATCTATGACTTACAAAAAATATAGGATTTTCTTTCATTTTGTGTATACTGTGTTTCATGTTTTGTTGGTATTGTTGAGTAGTTTTATACAAGAATATATATTGTACGATATTCATTAATTAATTACTGTATTGGATTGTTTTTGCGCATACAGGTTTTTAAACTTGTTTTTATTTTGTTGATATATAGATATATATTATTTTTCTATTTGTAAAATTGGGTTTGCTAAAGAATTGTGGTAGAGTGCAGGGCGTACTGTTCTCTCCAACAAAAAAAAACTGATCTTTAAATTCGACGATAATCTGAACCTTTAAATGCATTGGGACGATTATGAAAAAGTAGCTAAACGATGTCTAAGCAAGCTCGTGAAAACCGCATCTCGATATCTTGTTCCTGAACTCGAATTTATTCCAAAGAAAGTTGTATACAGAAATCCCTAAAATTTTTATTTTTTAAAGTATTTTTTCAGGAATTCTATTTTTTTAAATTAGTTTAAAAGAATAAAAATTTAAGGGATTTCCGTATAAAATTTCTTTGGCCTAAATTTTAGGTTAGGAACAAGATGTCGCGATGCGGTTTTCGCGAGCTTGTTTAGACATCATTTAGCTAATTTCTCATAAAAAATCATACCAATACATTTATTTCTTTGAGAAAATTAACCATTTCTGTCGGAATGTCGAAAAAAGATATTCAGCAAAAATTGTCAAACAAAAAATGTTTAGATTATCCTCGAATTTAATTGGATCAAATATTATTTGTTAGGTTAATAAAGCGGAATTCACAGAAACATGACTTTTTTAGATTCAATGTTGCAGTTACGCCCCCTAGCGGCCGTTTCAGAAACTCATATTTCCTAGGATTTCCTCTTGTTTTAGTTATAACCGTTTTCCCCGCAAGCCTCTACGGTGGATAGGTTCCCAGATACAGTACCTCGCATTCCTAGTTGGCCACCCTGTACATCTTTATATACATATCAAATATTAATATTATCCAAATCAAACATGAATAAAGATCAAAACAATTGCGGCCTCCATGATTGTCATACTCCTTTCTTTACTTCAAAAATTTCTAGATTACACTTGTCCGTGTCAGCGTCAGCGCTCTCCTATTGTGAAGATATGTTTTCTTTTTAAATTGTAGGAAATTTCAGGCTGATAAAACATGATATAACTCAAAAGCAAGCACAATTTGATGCAAATAGATGTTTGTGACATAACCTCAAAATAGAGTTCTAACACGGATAAGTAGAAAACTATGACAATCAAGGAGGCCATAAAGACGCCTTACAATTGTAGGGACGACTGACGATACGGGCCTAAGACAATAGCGGCATGCTAAGTTACAAATAAAAAACGTCAAATGTATGTTTATGAACTGATAGATGAAGAGAGCGAGATTTGTACACTCTTACGGTTAGATATAACTTACTTACTATTTATCATCTCCTTTCAATCAAATAAAACCGCTCTTCTACGATTCTGTCGGTCAAAAAGTATTTTATCAAAGCTCACAGCGCACGCAAAAAGGTTTTTTCTTGTATTCCTTTACGTTTGTCTGAATGTTTAATCAACTACCTTGAACACAAAACACATGCGGCTCAATTTCTAATAATGTACTAACGGACAAGCAGTATTACCAGGCCGAAAAACGCAGTATCACTATTTTCTTTATATTTGCGTCAAGCTGAACGTATAGCTAATATGGGGCCGTTCTATAAATAAAAGCGCGCAAGGGGGCTTGCGAAGGGCTGAGAAGTCGGCTGGAGGTGCCTTCTTACAGCGAAATTTAGTCCGAACTATACGCCTAGTGAAAATTCAAGAGCGGGAGAGGGGTCAAAGAGTGGCCACCCCCTGACCCGACACACAGTGCATCATGTGCGGCATCCTAGATGCGCCCCTGTGTATACAAACAAATATTGCTCCGTTGGGAACATCCCAGAGGTCATTTCTTATTTTGTCTTTAAAATTCTTGGTACCCTCTAAAAGCTTCAGAGTCGGCGCTAGACCATATATGGACGTGGGCTACATCAGCTTTGCTTTCTATTTCCAAGTCAGGATTATTTCATAACTAACACTGGAACGACTCTAGCCGCTATATCCTCTTCAATTAATAAAATTTATAGAGCAGTCTCTCTTGGCTCATCGTGGTTCTCAAGTGGGACTTAATCAGAATTAGCTTTGACAAGCTTCTCTCAGTAGAAGCTATACTGACTGGAACTGCCAATTTTAAAAGTTGGAGCTCTTCATATATCAATATTTAACTGACTGATTTAAATTGCTCGCCATTTTTGATACACGAATTTCAGTAGGTGGCGCCGTAGTAGTTGTACATTAGTCCAATTTATCATGGCGCGCTAGACGATCCCACAATGCGTCCGTATTGGTAAAACGTTTTACTTAAATAATAAGTCGATTCGAAAGCTAGGACAAGATTTCGGTCGAATTAATGTGAACAGTGTCAACACCATTCGTCAGTTGGTGCGGAAATTTTAACAAACAGGTGAAGTTAAAGACTTGTCAAGGTCGAGACGTGTTCGAACTGTTCTTACTCCGAAAAATATCGAGAGAGTTCGTGAAAGTGTAGTGGAGCGCCGTGAGACGTCTACCAGACATCGCTCTCAAGAACTGGGTATTCATGCTTTTGTAATCTAACACCATTGTGTTACTTTCTGACACATCATGGTGACAGAAGCATACTAACAATAAGTTATAGCTATAGGAACTGAGCATTGCGATTTTCTGGTATCCTTTGGTATTCCAAACGCTGTCCCTCTTTGACATCACTTACGTTTACAGCACAATTCTTACGATTTATACGTATATACGAGTATTGTGACTTTTGACAAATCTAAGTCTGAGTAATAAGCTATACAGATTGCATTTAAAAAGTGATTTGTGTTTTGTTTGTTGCTCAATAGTAATTTGAAAAGCGTGTAAAGCTTGACTGATTTTGGGGTTGGTGCTGCAACGAAGCACTATGTTAGATGAACGCCTAAATTGAAAATGGACATTTATGAGATTTGTTTAGCGGTGCGCCTGTGGAATGTCCAGAAAATGCGTCGATCGGTACTGAAAGTCAATATCACACGTCCCGCATCTTTCCCCGCATATGTGTTCATTTATGTTGCTACAATTAATTCGTTTAAATCACAGAGCTTCTGCACTACACGTGAATATGTACAGCCTTGTATTCCTGTACTTGTTTAGTACAAACATACATTATCGAAATAATTACGATCTAACAGATATAGTTTTTTCCAAAGATTTCCAACATTTTTACATGAGATCAACACCGATTCGAAAACTGAGAAAATAACAACTAAGCCGTAAATCTAATTTCGACAACGAAAGTCTGAAAAAACTGTAACATCTTTATTGAATTTCAAAAGATAATTGACTATACCTATTGATTTTTTTATCATCTTCTGATATAATAGAAGTGCTTGATTGTGTCAGTATTTGCACCAATTACTTGATTTGCTTAATGAGCAGTTCATAGTGTTAATCCTTAAGCTTAGTACACACTAATATACCCCGCGCAACTTGTCTATAGGCAGTCTGGAGACGGTGTCAAGACACGATCTATACAGGGTGATTTCGAAGTTGAGTCATTTATTTTAACAGTGAGTAGATCTGATCAAAAGAAATGTTTTTTCCTTTAACATTATTGTGGTAAAATTAAAGTAACAAAGTTATAGCTCTTTAGAAGTTTGAGTATCGCCCTGTTTCAATAATAATATTATGTGCTCGTGTTTGGCAACAACGGATATAATCCGCCTTATCGGTTCATCGCATCGGAAACAAAAAAGCGAAAGAATTTGAAACGCTTATCACGATGTTTTTACTACAATTTTATTCAGTTGTATTCAGTCAATGTGTCAGTCGGTAACGCGTGAGTGAATAGTGGTGTTTGTTGCGTGAATCAAACGAAATAAAAAATGGCACATGTTTACGAAAATGCTGAACTTGTGGACATGATTCTTATTTACGGGGGGGGAGTCTTTACAAAATACTGCCGCGGCATCACGGATTTATGCGGATCGGTTTCCCAATCGAGTGCAACCAACCCCTCGTGCCTTTGTTAATGTAGTATAAAGGGCTTGTGAATCAGGTGACTTAAGACCTCACAGGGGAGGGCATGCCGGTGCTCCAAGACCGCACGA